CGCTTATGGGCTAGCACATCAGAGCCAGACGTGAGACCTACAGAATGGATTTCAATTGATCGAATGCACACATTAGTCACCGTAGGCCACAAGCCATCACTCTTAGCCAAAAGAGCTACTGCCCCGTGCTGGTGTGGAATGATGTGCTATGGAGTGAGATTTCAGTTCCGAGCACATAGTCAGCGAGCGCTGATCCGACGTGCATTGTGGAGCTTCCGATTGAATGTGTGCGTGAGTGTCAGCGTAGTCATTAGGTTATTGAGCGCCGTAACCACATCCAGCGGGATAGCCTAATGTCCGTTTTGTCGTTGTGACGTACATTGGAAAAAGTCGGGGCTCACCAGCCACAAAGAATAAATTTTTGTTTATGCGACACAATGATCGCAAAAATTGACCAACGGAGCCGTCCAGTTTCGTAGACCTGAGAGATGTGATAATAAAAACAGTTCGAAGATGGTGTCATTGAATATAAAATAAAAATAATATGAAAATATAAAATGAGTGATAAGACTTTTGTGAAGGTAAAGAACGAAGTAAATGCTCGGAGGGCAGGGAGAGAACAAACTAACACTCTAATCACTCTGTATGTAGATCATATGTAACAAAGAACAAATATTTGATATACTGATTTTGAAGACCGTTGATGTCTACAGGTGTAATGGTGTAGTGCATTAGTATGTACCGTTTGGTCGTCTAGTATGGTCTCGTTATGTCTTCGTTCACATTAAAATCGGTTGAATAGAAAGCTAAACACACTCACTTCTTGCGCTTATGGGCTAGCACATCAGAGCCAGACGTAAGACCTACAGAATGGATTTCAATTGATCGAATGCACACATTAGTCACCGTAGGCCACAAGCCATCACTCTTAACCAAAAGAGCTACTGCCCCGTGCTGGTGTGGAATGATGTGCTATGAAGTGAGATTTCAGGTCCGAGCACATAGTCAGCGAGCGCTGATCCGACGTGCATTGTGGAGCTTCCGATTGAACGTGTGCGTGAGTGTCAGCGTAGTCATTAGGTTATTGAGCGCCGTAACCACATCCAGCGGGATAGCCTAATGTCCGTTTTGTCGTTGTGACGTGCATTGGAAAAAGTCGGGGCTCACCAGCCACAAAGAATAAATTTTTGTTTATGCGACACAATGATCGCAAAAAGTGACCAACGGAGCCGTCCAGTTACGTAGACCTGGGAGATGTGAAAGTAAAAACAGATTGAAGATGATGTCATATAGGTAAAAAAAAAACATAAATTAATGCAAAGACTATTTAGTTGGAAGAGTAAAAGTAAGCAACTCAGTAAAAGGGGGAATAAAAACTCACACTCTAGTCATCTTTAAACAAATGATGAAATAATGATCTATGAGTAAACAAGTCAATAAAAATCCGCTGGTTTATAATGGTATTCATAACTAAAACAATCGCACCATACAAGTGTCTAATAAATGTGGTACTATATATGTTCTAAACTCTAGATAAAAAATTGATAACTGATAATCACCTGTGTAACATAAAAAATATATAAATGCCGTAAATGTACCAAATTCATAATAAAAAGCTCATAAAGCGCAAAAATACATGGGTTTAAGAGGTAAAAAAATGTTGGTGCCATATAACCAATTAGAATTAAGTAGTGGATAAATGGTGATCCCCCTCCTCAGGAATGCACTGCGATCACCAATGACGTTTCGGAGATCCCGAGACCTGCACTAACGCCACTCGTCAGGGGCGTGTCCTTGCAACAGATCTCACCGCCTGCACTCTACGTCATGCTAGTCAATATTGCAATATAATAGGACTACACTACAAAAGCCAAAAAACCAATCCCTATCCCAGTTTTTGAAAACAGCTCCAACATTCTTAGAGATCTCGTGAGGGTGGTGAGGAGTTCGCGTGGTGTGACCATAAATAGATATGTAAACACATATAAATATAAGGTACCCTAACATTAGAAGAAACAAACTTGTACACATGTACGTATGCGCGTGTGTAAATAAACAATTATAATGTGTAGAAATAACAAAAAGCGAATAGAAAATAGTAATTAATAATTAATAGTAACTTACCGTTTCTTTTATGGCTGAAATATGTATTATAAATATAATAAGTAAATACCACTCATAAGCATTGATACTAAGTTAGGATGTTTTGTGGTTAGTACGAAAGTAGTTAAACGAAAGTATGATAAAAAAATATATAACTCTAAATAGTATGTTCTAATATAAATCTTGCCTGGTAAGTAGAGACAATAGCTATCACACAATACAGACTCAGAGTAATAAAATAACGATTAGCCAGAGATAAAAAAATATACGAACATCAAATCAGTAGGCAGAAAATAATGAGGAAATAAAAAGATAAGCCAATATATGCGATTTTAAACTAATAGCTTATAACCACTAAAAAATGTAACGTTAAAAAACAATATTGTTGACAAAACAACCAAAGAAACGTTAGTGAAGACTGTATAGTGCAAACCACAACAAACTAACTTAGCGACGTCAAATCGAGAAAATTTGATAGAAACAAAAAAACCTAACGAAATCGTGATTAGTCTAAACTTATCTAATGAAATTGTTCAGTATATTTCAACCAAGAATACATTTGTTATAAAAAATACGCAATGTTCTAATGGATTCAAATAAGAACAATGAGAAAACCATTTTCAAACGTTTTATGCAGCTTTTATCAAAAAAGGTTTAAGTTTTTATAGCAGTGTGTTTTTGATCATTGTCTTGTTGAAAAAAAGAATTGTTTTCTTCTCTAAGTTTTTCAGCAGAAGTTTTTAAATTTTGCTTCAATATATTTTTATACAAATCAGCATTCATAGTTTCATAAATAAATTTTACTTTACCAACACCATTTCACACCATACAACCCCATAACATTAGACTTCCATTGCATATTTAACTGTTCATCTTGTGTAACTCAATTGAAAAGCTTCATACCTCTCCAAACTTTTTGTGCACCATCAAATTATTTTTAGTTAAACTTAGATTCATCAGACCAGATAACTTTTTCCAAAACAATGTGGCATTAAATAACACTTTTTTGCAGAACCCATTCTTTCCTTCATATGATTTTTATTAAGATTGGCTTTTTATGAGCAAGCAATTACCAGCATACTTTAAAGACACAACGCATTTCCTTAAACTCCTACAATCTCATGTACATTTTTAAGACATTTTTATCCACTGTACTCTGATTTATGAATGTGATTTCTAATTGATGTAAGTGAAGTTGTGTTTCCTGTTAAGGTTTTGCAGATAAATAGCAAAACTTTTTGCAGTTTCAATCATTTTTTTTATCATTCTAAAAATTTCTCTATTGCTCTTAAAATTTTCTTCAATTAATTTATGTGCATGCCTGTTCAACAGAAAAAATTTGTATAACAAACGCATTTTCTTATATTTTTACTGAAAAATTATAAATAAGAAATAGTTATAATCAAATAAAAAAAAAAATGTTTCAGTCATTTTCAATTCTAATTAAGTGAAACATGTTTTTAAAAGTCAAATGCAAAAATTATTTCGTAAAACTAAATTCTGTTGTCACTATATATATATATATATATATATATATATATATATATATATATATATATATATATATATATATATATATATATATATATATATATATATATATATATATATATATATATATATATATATATATATATATATATATATATACATATATATATATATATATATATATATATATATATATATATATATATATATATATATATATATATATATATATATATATATATATATATATATATATATATATATATATATATATATATATATATATATATATATATATTTGGAGTACTCTTTAGAATTGTTACTTCTGCTTTTTTTGAAAAATTAATTTCAAAGGGGGAATTACTATTATTCTTTTTTAAGCTCATTTATTTTTATAGATTTCCAAAAGAATCTTTTCATACATGCATTTAAAAATCAATTTCTATTTTTTATTTAATAAACATTCTTGATTCACATGAGTAATTATTTCAAGTTTTTCATGTAGATTTTAAATGCATTATTTGGAAGTATAATTATATGCAGGTGCTGTTTTTAGGATTGACCATTTCTATATAAAGTTATTAACTGAAAAAAACGAAAAAAAATATTGCATAAAATGTCTATCAATTTCATTCAACAAATTCCTTTATAATTGCTTTATCTTTTAAAAATGTTATGTTATATTTTTATATTGTTTTTTTGTTTTTCTTGGATATCTTGGTTTTTTCTCTATACTTCCTTTTGAAATTATGCAAAAATAAAAGTCAGTCCTGTTTTTTTCTTTTCATTTTGGGCAACATCAATGTTGTCTTTTATGAGTTTGAAAGTTTTATGCAACTGAAAGATTAAAAAGCGGCTACTTAAATTTCAAGTAGAAATTATTGCAAGTCCAATATTTTCATTCATTGACAGTCACTTTTACTTTGGCCTATTATAAGGAACAATAGCCACAATATTTCTGTGACAAATTGAACTGAGCTGGGAGGCTTCAATCCAATGTCTAAAGAACTAAAGTCTAAAGAACTAAAGAACTGAGGAACTCTATGTTAGGACATATTCTGACAAACTGATATTCATCCATGCTATGAAATTCATAACTGTATAGTTTTTAAGTAATTTCACCTCTTTTTTACATTTTTCATCAGCCAGGGCTAGTACATTAAAGTAAGAGTCCAGAAACCATGTGTGTCGTTTGATAGATTCAATGACTGATTCTAGCCCAATCAGATTGTACTCCTTAAACCTATTCATATTCAAACCTACTATATTTCATACTTGTTTAGTTGGTACATACCTGACACGGAGCCACAGCGGATAGTTCAGCTTTGAGAAACCAGATAGTATAAAAAATGTTCCTTTGGAATAATCAATTTTCTCAAAACCTTTTTCATTCAATATGTAAAAACAAAATTCAATGAACTCAAATTATATTTCACAAAATGGTAGCTAATTATGTAAAACCCTAC